TGGGGTGGCTGATGTCCGATATTCGGTTTTAAGGCCGATACCGATAGGGGGCCGATAATATCGTGCATCCGTACTTAAAAGGCCTGTTTAATGACTGCTGCAGACTTAAAAGAACCCCAGAATGTCCGTTTTTGGTCGTTTTTGGGGAATCCTTCAGCTGATCTGCTGAAAATGTTATGCCTGGCGAGACAGGAGTTCTAGTAGCTGAACTGAGGAATAAAAATCCACCGAGCAGAGCTGAGCTCCTCAGGTCAGAGGCTCTGAAACATATTTAGAATTGGTGGGGAAAAAAATGGTCACAAATGGTGCTGCCAAGTTTCCAACATCGTAATAAATCTTTCTTTCTGAGACTCCAGTAAAAAAAAGAACAAACTATCAATAAAATTATTAAAAATGTTATCTTTTCAGCTGTTGTTTCAGGTTCAGTTTTTTAGTTTCTGTCTCTTAGACCAGAACCAGGAGTTAAACTGACTGAGTTAGACTGATCAGAACATTTGAGGGATGAATTAAGTTTGTCCTGATATAAAAATTCTATATTTATCCATGTTCATCAGTCCTACTGCCTTCATTGGTAACCCTCCTGCAATCTTAGCCCTGGAGCAACGCTGTCCGTGGTGCTGAAAAGTCATTTTGACATTTTTATTGGTAGAAAACATGAAATATTCAGAGTTTTCAGCAGATTCCACCTTTAATTAAACCTAAAGTCCTTAATTAGATATTAATAAAAGGTGATTTTAAGCTTTTATGTTGAATTTTTTTGTTCCAATATGTTTTGAAATCTAACCGCAGTTGATTTCAATATTTACCAAAGACATTTAGCATCAACAGAAAAACAAGTCATGATATTCATAATATGTTAATGAATAAGCATATGAAAGCTTGATGATTAAACATTTAGATCAAATGGTTTTATATCTAACTAGTGTTTAATGACCTGGTAGATTTTTAGTTAAGGTTATGGTTCTCAGTACCTGTTTTATTCTGGATGTCTCCATTTTCAGTGAGTCGAGAGTTTTTTTCCCCCACCTGTATCTGCTATTTTCCTCTTCCTGCCACCTGATGATGTAACTTTCATTCCATTAAACATCACAACTCTTCCTCCAGGTCTGTCCGTTTATATTTTTTGGGCCTTTATCTATGCAGGGGCAATAATATCTTATAATCAAACGTCACAGTCAGCAGTATCTAAGACTGTTCTGTTCAGCAAAGCAATGCCATTGTAGTCTGCTTTTTGTGTCAAAAAGGAAGAAAGGTACAATAAATATAGGTAAATATTGGCCATTGCAGATGTTGGTCTAAGGTTTTATATAATTTTGTATCATTTCCATGGTTTCCCTGGAAAACGTGACTGAAAAGGGAAAAAAGAAACTTTGTTTAGGTCTGATGTTTAACAAAAGAGCACCATACTCACAGGGAAGCACAGGGGTGGTAGCATAATGATATGGGATCGTTTCCCCTTTGCTGGAAGCAGGGTTTAGTTTAGAAAGCTAAGTAACAGTTAAACAGTTCCAAATACTTGTTGATGATGATTTCTGGTAAAAAGCTGAAGATGTTTTTGGAAGAACCAGAATCCAGACCAGAATCTGAGACCTGAGGAGGTCTGTTAACCTGACAGGTCCTCACAGTTTGAAACATTCTGACTCATTTTGGAAGAAAAATTACTAAACAAATGATGCAAAACCAAAGATGGTTTCTCTCAGGTTAAGGTTCATATTAATGATGGAGAAAAATCTGAAATGATTAACTTTTCTCTATATATTTTCAATTATTCTGCCCCTTGAACAAAGCTATGTAAACCTTTTATGTTGTTTCATTTTTTCATTCTTCTCCTTTAGTTTTTCTTTTTTTAATTGTAGAGATGATCATTATTAACGTTCCCGTTTTTAATTCTCTGTTCTCTAAAGGTTCCACCCCACTTACAGGCTGTGAAGCCGGTGGACCGAGCTGCTCAGGTAGGAAAACTAAACGCACCTCTATTGTAAAAGTGGTCATAATGTTTTAGCTGTACATAGGAAACTTAAGTTGAATAAAAATGCAGTTTTTATTGTGTGAAGGGCTGGATATGACCTACATTAGTAGCCATTCAAAATGTCTCCACTTCCCTTGATGGACCCTTGGCTGGTCCCTTATAATTCCTTTTTAAACATCAATCTTTGTACTAAAATATTCTTTCTGCCAGGATTTTTGGACTTTAAGATCCAAAGAGAAGCATCATCTCCTGGTCAGATCCTGTAATTCAGTGAAAGGGTGGAGTCAGAGTGAAAAAAATGTGGGAGTCACTCCAGTGGCTGGAAGTTGGAGGGGATTTCGTTGAGAGTTGGAGGGATGCTAGCTGCCAATCGGCTGGAGTTTGACTGGTAGGGGCCATTTTGAATGGCTGCTACTATAATGTTCATCTAAAAAACATTTTACTTTGTCTTTTAGACACACATATCACTTTTACATGTAAAGCTCATAGAAATGATATGGTGTGTTATGTGAAAACTTTTTTTTTCCAGTTTGGATATTATTTAAAATGTGAAATTGAGGTGTGACACCTTCCTCTACATGTTTCACATATGGACATTTGGTAACATGTGAAGCTAATGTAGAAAACTTGCTACATGGGAAACAGTTTTGCATTACACATGGAAATTTTAGCACATAATGACATAAAACGAATGTTCAAAATGTCCGTATGTACAGTATCATGGATGAAAAGGTTCCCGCATGTGAAGGAGCTTTTTTTCCACAAGTCAAAATTAAAACAAACCAAATGTGACCCTGTTGGTTTACATGAGTGAGTTGATGTGATTTTTTTTTTTTTTTTGTGTTGGCTGTGATTTAATATACTGTACTGTGATCTAAATTCACAGGATTTTAGGAGGAGATGAATATTTTCTTTTTCTTGACATTTTTTAACACAGGAGGAGAAAACCTTTGATGTTTGTTCAAACTTTCACTGTTTTCATGCCTGAAAATATCCACCTAAATACAAAGGAAGTGGATCTTTTGACATTTTTACAAACATGCTGTAATTCTAAGGTTGTTGTCTAGGTAACGGGTGCATCTGTAAAACAGGAAGACTCTGAGGGAATCCAGCCTTAAACCTAACGCCATCATATCGGCTCTCCGCTTAGAAAAACATCCGCCTGCTTTGACGGTGTGACATGAAGGCGGTTCTTTCCCACTGGGTTGTTTTGTTTCAATCACTGGGAGGTTTTCTGCCGTCCTGGCAGCTGCTGAACCATCTAACTGGATTCTGGACGCCTTGTTTAGAGAAACTTTCTGCTCTAAATCCGGCCTTTTTTTTTTCCCATACGGAAACGTTTTGTGACCTCTGAAAGTTCCTACTCACAGTTCAGCCTGAATTCATTCACACACCTGGCAAAAAATAAATTTATTTAACTAATAAATTAATTTTTAATTGGAAAAATGACAGAAGTCTCTTAATTAATTATAAAAACAATCAAAAGTTATTTGTGAAAAATTATTTTCATTTTTATTCATTTTGATATCCTTATGGGCTTTTGAGAAAACAAACCTTTTTTTTTAATAGCTGATCAGCTTAAACATGTTTCCTCTGATATATTAATAATTCATTTCAGGCAAAGAGCCTCAGAGTTGTTAAGTTGGAAGACCTCCTTACCATTACCCTAATCTGTAACTCAATCTGAAGATTATTTAACTCTGTAAGAAAATTTTATTACCTCCAGTTTTGCAGAAGTCATATTTGAATGTCAAATCATTCTAACTTAAACATGTATTTAAATTTTCTCTTTATCAGATGATATTGTCCCAAAATTTTGAAAATTTAAAGGAGAAGTTCGGTTTTTTACACTTTAAGCCCATTTTCTGTAGTGTCCAGGATGAAATCGAATGAAGGACACCAAAATTTTGACAATTGGTCCTGTCTCTGCTTTTTGGCTCATTTAGAATCAACCCCTGGCTGCTTTAGAATGGCTAGCATAG